CATTATGGGATCAAATGGAGTTTTAAGTAAATATAAAGCTGGTATTAGTGTACAAGACTATAGTGCCATGGGTCCTTCTTTTGGAGTTGGCTATGACTTGGGTTTGTTTACTAATTCAGGTAATTATTGTTACAAATATTCTTTTGAGTCTGGCCTTTTAAGCGAAGACCAACGAGTATCTTTCGAAATTGAGGATTATGAGGTTTTTCAAATAGCAAAAAAATGAAATACCTTTTTTTGGTCATTTATTTTCTATTTTATTTTAGTTATTTCTCATCAAATTTCAAATATGTCAGAAAGTGTATATAATTCTATAATAGAAATCGATAATTAATCTAGTAAGTGCAGACAGCTTAAAGAACGCCAATAAAAAGTTCTTTTAAATTGTATTGATTTTTGTTGTTAATCATACTATAGTTGTTACTTATTTCAAATAATATTGACAAACTAGTGCGTAGTTATTTCTCTATTGGCGCTCTTTAGGCTACCTGCATTGTACATTTTTTTTCGATATCAACTATATTTTTCGTAAAATTCTATAAGATTAATTACATATCGGTATTGAATATTGAATTCCTCTTTTTTTCTTATTTACGGTGTACATTCATTGAAAATTCAGTTACTATACTTGTCATCTTAATACGCCAAATGCATGTTATAGGTATAATATGTTCTTGTGTCATTTTTATGTATACCGTTAACACAGAAATCGAAGTTCTATACACAGCTCTTCTTTTAACACAACAATATACGTACATGTAGTTATCATCATTAAATAAAACATAGACATTGTTACAGTAACATAAAATCGTTAATTCCAAAAATAATTGAAAAACATGAAATATCCAAAAATATTCGTATAATAGCAAAAACCTCTCAAATTATTTCATACTTTCTGATTTCTTTTCATCATTTTATATTACTTTTCATCATTTTTAATTACTTTTCATTATTTTCTGATTACTTTTCATCATTTTTAATTATTTTAATTAATTTCATCATTTTTAATTACTTTTCTGATTACTTTTCATCATTTTTGATTATTTTTCATCATTTTTAATTACTTTAATTAATTTTCATCATTTTTAATTACTTTTCTGATTACTTTTCATCATTTTTGATTATTTTTCATCATTTTTTAATTACATTTAATTATATTCTGATTAGTTTTCATCATTTTTAATTACTTTTCATCATTTCTGATTACTTTTCATCATTCCTGATTACTTTTTATTATTTTTTAATTACCTTTTATCATTTACTTTATTTATCTTAGTTTTAGTTAATTATCATATTTTAAAATTATATTTACAAAAAATGTATAAATAGAAATGCTGTCTGAGTTTTAACTTGACATATTGCAAATGAAAAATAAAATTCTCTCAACAAAAATCTTCTTTCAAACAATATTATCTTTCAATTGTATATATCAAAGCTTGTATATAAGTAAATTTGAATTATATTATATTAAACAAATACTATTTTAACTTTGAGCTTTATATTGTATTGTACTAAACAAATTGCTATTATTAAAATATTAGTTTTATATTATACTATGCTAAACAAATTGCTATTATTGAAATTACTAACTTTGAATATTAAGTATTTTGATTTTGTTATTTGAATTTTGATTATTTTAATGAATATTAGAAGAAAAAGTAAAAAAGTCTTTGTTATTATTACTATTAATTATATTATTTTAGTTTTGGAAAGCTTGATATAAGTATAGAGAACTAGTATTTCAAAAAGTTGTGGAAGAGTAAAGAAAAAAGAAATATAAAATAATAAAAAAATAAGTAATAAGAAGGTTTCATATTATTATTATATTTTTGAATTATTTGTGAAAATTGATATAGAACTCAAATATTTTTCTTTTCTTTTAATCTTTTATTTATTATTTAATTTTCTTTTTCAATTAAGTTCCAAGTTTATAAACTAATTTAATGATTAATAAACAAATTTATAACAATATTATTATTATAAAAATAAAATCTAAAAGTTTAAATACTTATTATTAATATTTTTATAAATTAAACTTTTGCCTGAATTCAAGTCTGATTAAAAATTTGAATCAAATTTGAATTAGATTTTGATTTGAGTTCAAGAAAAGTTTGAAGTTTGAACTGAACTCAAACTGAATTGTTATACAAGTTCAAGTCTGATTTGAATTTAATTAGAAATTAGCATATAGTATTATATATCAATTTGTAATTCTAAATTAGAATTATAACTTTAATATTTTAATTATAAATACTAATTATAATATTTAATAAGAATTAAAATGATAACTAAATTATTTTTATTTTTATATTATTAAATTTTAGTATAAATTCTATATATCTCTTTAAATAATAATTATTATTAGTAACTATCTTATATCAAATTGTAGTATTTATTACTAGCTACAATTTTGTTTATAATTATAATTAATAATTACTATAAAAAAATAAAAATTTACTATAAAATAAACAAAGTGAATTAAAATTAAAAATATTTTTTAAATTCAAATATCTTTTTGAATATTTATTTTCAATATTAAATATTTTATATTAATTTTTAATTCTAATTCTGATCTATAATTTTATATAGAAACTTATTGAATATTTATTTAAATTCGAATGAGACTTTTAATTAGATTCAAAGTTTAAACTAAATTTGAATTAAATTTTTAAATAAATTCAAATTTTTGAATCAGATTTTTAGTCAAATTCGAGTCTGATTCAAGCTTAAACTGAATTAGACTTTTTTTTTGGAATTATATATATTGTTACAATAGTAATATAAAAATCATTAATTTCAAAGATAATTAAAAAATACAAAATATTCAAAAATATTCATATAATAAGAATCCTTCTAAAAAAATTACTTTTTTTATCATTTTAATTACTTCTCATCATTTTCAATTTCTTTTCATCATTTTTAATTACCTTTCATCATTTTTGATTACTTTTCA